TCTTTTCTGTTCCGATGTTTATATGCCCTTAGCTAACCATCATTGTCTTTGTCAGCTTGTCTAACTCCCTTCTCATCTCTTACCATATTTGAGCGAGTTTTCTGACGCATCCACCTACATCGTCACTCCGCCCTTAGTGATAAGTTGTTTCCAACACATCCTTTTTCAGATCCCTTCTACTACTCCCAACTTTGCGTCTTGCCTTCCGGACTCACCCAGCCTCAGCCCATTCCCGAGCAGCAATATTCACTTCCATTCACTCACATCCGCCTACCCTATCCGTCACTAAGGCCCGCTTCGCCCGCGCTCAGTCTCGACACTTTGGCCACTTGCACTGCCACATTCGTTCCCGTCTGTCGCGCATTCACACCCGCTTCTTCGCCTCTCGACGACCACATTGAAGCAATTCTGCCCAAATACCCATGGCTCAACTCGACCTGTCCCACTTCATCTCACATCCTTGCTGCCAGCCCTCAGCCTCCCATTTCGTCACGACCGTGTCAACTGCCCGTGTCTCTTGGCCTCAGCCCAAACAGTCCCAAGTCTCTAGTCACCTCTTCCACTTGGCAGACCCCTTCAGTCTCTTGGTCCGACGCCGCGCCAGATCTGGCAAGTCACGACGAGGTGATGCAGCAACTAGAGCTGCGGCGACGCCGGATCTTTGCTGACAATTTGATGCTGCCTGGACTGGCAACACCTTGGCAGGGTCCCGTTGGCCCGACTGTTTCATCTGTCCATTTGGACGATGTTGTCTGTCGGCAAAAGCAGTTGAAGGTGGAGAATGATGGAGAGAAGGAGGCGAGGAAAGAGGAGAACATGTTGGTCTGCCATGACGAGGAGGACAATAAGGCTCCATACGAAGACTTGGATGCTGAATACTCCCAGTAAGACCTAAAAAGTGTAAGATTGCTTTCTCCAAAAATGAGGCTTCTAACATCTTAATTGGTTTCAAAGGTGAAAACTTATTTTAAAAGATTTCTTCTGCCTCTGCTTCGTCTCCTACTTAAGACGTGAAAAGAATTGCTTTAATAACTTTTACAAACTTTCCGTTTATAAGCCGACTTTAAGGGCTACCAGTAGATTTGTTGGGATTAGTTCTATTTCGAGTATAAGTGTTGGGTGAAGAGATTCGAAGGTCGGTTCCACCAGAAGACCACGGCGAATTCCTCTTGACCAGCTGTCGATCGGCTCTTCTGGAAGATTCATGCTGACGCTGTTTCCGAGGCAATCTCCTTCGATTCCGGTGAACACGTGCTGAGCT